ATAAAATGCATACACACATATATTCAATAATTGCACATTTCATTATTTGACTTTGCCATGTCAAGTATCGCGTATATATAAAATTATTTTATAAAATTATCTAATTAAGAAAAAAATAATAATTTAAAATTTTATAATAAAATGTGATTATTGATTTACATAAAAATCTTATTCATTGGCACGCGGGTGAAAATATCATTAGTAATTTTAATGAAAACTAAACTGAAGGTTTCTTCATAAGAAGCTTGAAGCTCCTTGAAGAGTAGATCGCCATTCGTATTGAGGAATTTATTCATTTCCTCACCTGCAATTAATAAAAGGTGGAAGAGTTAAGAAATAAATATATAAGGAATAAATACTTATAATATTTTGCGGCATTTAACAAACTTTTCCTTTTCTAATCTCTCATTTAAATTAATAAGGAACTTTTATTGCTAAATATGTATATAAAACTATAAATTTCTCACATTTGTGTGAGTCAATCTTTTTTTGAAATTAATTCTTTAGAAGTATGAACACAATAGCGGTTTAGGAGGAAGATAAAAGCCATAGATTTTTATATAGTTCTTTGTCTCTTTCTTATCATTCGCAATATTTTTATACTTCGACTTTCAAACCTACATCTCTATCACTAAAATTATTTAAAATCAGATATTTTTTTCTCACGATAATAGATACTATTTTAATTTTCAAAATATTGATCCTTTCTCTTGAATCACTCTGTATTTATATTGATATATAAATCTATGTTTCTATTTTCAAATTATAAAATAATATTGATTATTTTAGACTTGATTAAAATATGTACCTAAGAAGGTATTTCCATTGAAGAGATTATCAAAGCGTAATGTTTTGTGTTTGGAAAAAAGCTTGATAGAATATTTAACTGCTCGCATGTAGGTTTCCCCATCCTTCTGAAACTTCTCAAAATGTATTTCGTGTTTCGTCGTTAGGTTATCTGAAATAGATAAAATATATTGCATGAGTATAATGAATTATTTTGTCTTTGTTAATCAAGCATTCGTCATTAAATCATATATATTAAATCGAAATATTGCAAATTCAATTTATAGAAAAATATTATGATATTTACACATGGTTATATTAGATCTACCCTCTCCTTGCACTGGCAGTAGCAAAACCTTGCCTTCAAGTTTATAATCTGCAACGAAATCCACTTGGGGAGTGAAAGTCTCTGATCTGAATATTAAATTATCCCAGTCTATCCTAAAGAAATAAAAATTTTGTTAATTACGATCATATAATTAATTATTACATGTGTACATAATCTGTCATTTATAAAAATTACAAATAATCTCTGCAGTAATTTATCCTTAAATATAAAACTAAAATATAGATAAATTTTTTAATTTGCCAATATATTTTGCAATTGGGAATTATTGAATAAATTAATCATATTTATAATTTTTTATTTGCAACAGAATGTCAATCAAATGTTTAATTTAAAACACACCCCTTGTAAATTATGTGTGTGTCTATGATTTCTTTTCTTTTATGTAACATTTACATAATGCATTTTCAAGCATATGCAATGATCGATTTTATACTTAGATCGATAAAAAATAATATACGGAAAATGTAATAAAAATTACATACTGATAATTATAGAGTTGCAGTCCCTTCGTTAGTCCATGCAGCTTAATATTCCGATATTCCTGTTCGATCGACACCGCGCCTTGAGATTCGCCGATTTTCACACTGCTGATCGCCAGCGGTTCAAGAGGTAAGATTTTGAAGCTCTTCAAACCTAAAGATGACAGGCATTCAATATGTGAATTCAACGTTCATTATATTTCAGTGCATTATAATTGCACTTTGTCATATACCAATTTGCAATTTATATAACTATCGTAAAATTATATTTTTGAAATTTAAAAAGACAAATTATATAAGATAAATTAATTGAATAATTAATTAAAAATCTAATTATTATTTTATTTTGGTATTTTCCACGAAAAAAAAAGTAATTCAAAGTAGTCTTATATATGTATATTCATACAAATTTATCGATAAGAAAAAGAGACTGCAGCCGAATCAATTCTTCACTATGTATGTAAAATCTGTGTTTTTCCTGAAGAATTCCTTAATTATGCGTTCTTTGATAAAATCACTGGAAAAATACTCTAACGAGAAGAAATAAATATTTAATGAGAAAAATGGATTATTATACCTAGTTTGCATACGTAAAAAAAGTGTTTTGCTTTTCTACTTCGTTCGTAAACAGTGATATAACAGAGCTATAAATAACAGGTTCTTAGACGTTTCCTAGAGACTAGAGTTATTGATTCATAAATGATATATCAACGTGATTATCAACGTATTTATGATCATTATACTAAAAATATATCAAGTAAGAAAAAATCTCTATAATCTTGAGACATACATACATACACACACATAACGTCCATATTAATATCATAAAATATCATTATGTACCCAAAAAAGTGGAACAGGATAAAGTAGATTGTGTAAGCATGTGATAGCAAAAAATAACAGTTTTACAATGACATTAAGAATTTGATAGAATTCTTGCAAGACGATTACTAGTTCGTTTTGACACTGAACCGGCTCGGATGAACCAATAAATAACTTTCGCGTTAAGAAATAATACAGTAAAATGGTTTATTGAAAAATAAAGCATTCTAATCAATCTCTTGTATGTTTGTGTGTGTGTGTGTGTACATTAAAGTAAATTAAGTTTCATAGAAGTGAGATTTTAGAAAGTTATTTTTCTGTTTATAATAAACATTAACTAGCATTTTAAAATTTTGCATCTGCGCAAGACATAATTTCTGACCCATGAGAGTATGTCACTATAAGGCATAGTACACAATTAATTTTGCATTTTGTATTTATGAATTAATAGGCATTAAAGAGAGAGAGAGAGGGGGGGACGAAGAGGAAGAGAGGGAGAGAGAGGGAGAGACAGAGAGGGAGGGAGAGAGAGGGAGAGAGAGGGAGAGAGAGAGAGAGAGAGGGAGAGGGAGAGAGAGAGAGAGGGAGAGAGAGGGGGAAAGGTGTGAGGGAGAGGGGGAGAGGGGGGAAAGAGAGAGAGAGAAAATTACGGAAAAGATGATATAGAATTATATTTCTGAATTATGCAGATAGCCGGAAAATTACAAAGAAAATATTATAAAAAATAATCGCAATATATACATTCTATTCATTCGCAATATTCTTAAACTACGTTGCATAATTTGTACAGTTTTTCCAATTCGTAATATTTTATTTTGTGCATGCGTGTGTATGTCTGATAAAAAATAATGCATATTTACCTTTGGCCATTGAGATAATTGCATCTTTGACGGCATCCGCGACGCAGTCTAATACTTTCGGGTCTGACCTCTTGCAAACTTTGAAATTACTGGCTATAAGATGGAGAGAAAAGGAGAAAAATATTGCGTGTAAGTTGTTATATAACTGACTGCATTGCTGCAGATCCAATAAAAGCCACGCGCTCACTCGATCTTTAGACGGTTGTTGACTTTCTCTTTAAACTTGCACACGTGTTAATTTCGGATTCACGGTATAATTTTATTTGAATAATCTGATCGCAAACAAAAATTCAATTATTGATTTTGACAAAACATAATTGAGGATTCCGAATATAAAATGTAATGAGCATTTTGATTGAAATCAAAATGCTGATTCAAGTTTTGATTAAAAATGAGTTAGATATTGCATCCGATTGAAAATTGCATATATTGATTCATGCTCTTAAGTAAAAAATGCAATGTGATTAACTCGCGACTTGTTATTTTTATGAGAAATTATTAATATAATAATAATAAATTTATTACTATTATTATTAGGATCATTATTATTATTATGTATTATTACAATCATTACTTTATATGTGAAAGTTTACACACATATATAATTTATTATTTAGTATTAAATTTGGTGTTAATCAAATATTATTTTATTTAAATAATCTTCGAAAAATAAAATATAGGAATTTTGTTTCCTTTATTGAAAATATAGAATAATAGGTATTTTATATCTCTGTTTCTCTTTTCCCACGTATATAACAGAAACTTTAATATTATCCAGTTTTATTGATTTTTCTATTGAGTTCTCCAATTATTCATTATGAAGAAATTAAATTATTAACTTTTGCAAGATTACGTTACAAAAGATTTTTTAATGATTAAAATGCGTGTGTCGTAGTAAAATATTCTAATTTTGTAACATGCTATGATTCATTAATAACCATTGCTTTTTGTGTCTTGAAATGTGATTGATGATTGCCTGTTTCAAACAAATTCGATTCAATGCAATTATGAATTATGACGCAACATAGCTATAATTTGAAAGCGAATAAGCTTATAGAATTATACAATAGTTAGATATTCGATCTACGCATACGCACTTTTATTACTCATTATGATTGTCTCCATTATGTTTCTAATGTTGCGTCCATTAATTCATTATGATTCAATACTTTGTTTTATCACAACAAATCTGATATATACGCACTTTTATTACCCATTATGATTGTCTCCATTATGTTTCTAATGTTGCGTCCATTAATTCATTATGATTCAATACTTTGTTTTATCACAACAAATCTGATATATGCAAAAAAAATGAGAAAGGCATAAAATAAATTTCTTAGCGACAAGTTGATAATAGTATAATATCATACTAAAATAACATATTTCACATTATAATAATTAATATTTAAAAAAAAACAATCTGTAAAATAATAGAGAATTTAAATTAGTAAGTGCAATCAGTAAAAGTTGCACAACTTTTCTTGACAAAGTAAATAATGTATAATGCTATGATATCAAAATAATTATATTTTTTACAGTATCTTGCATTAATCTATATCTATTTTTTAATAAAAGTATATATAACATATTCGTATAAATTGCAAAGGCTGAGAATATTTTATTCCCAACATTTTATACTTTCAAACAAAGGATCTCCAAGTTTATTTAATTATATGTATTAACTTAGACACGTATTTAGAAATTTGACCATATAATAACACATGCAAAATATTACTACCCTTGAAAAAAACATGATTTGACGATTTATAAGATGATATATAATATCAACAACAAGAAAATATATGTAATTACTTACGCAATTCTAACGTCGTCGTGGTTGCAACCACTGCGAACAAGAATATGACTATCGTTTTCATTATCCCTGAATCCTATCTTCTGTCGATGGCACTTACAGCGTCGGCTGAAAGTCAAGCAACTCGTATGAGGGAAAATGTTTAATGATCGTCAGATGTGAACTGGGAGACATGGACAATCCAGACAGTCTATTTAAGCACCGTTCGCCCCACCATGGTCCTGTAGTGGACATTGTTTGTATATACTGTATATGTATGTACACACATGCGTACAGGGTGAGAAAGTGGATAGATGTTATTAACCAGCGACATACCTAACATAGGATAGGTCAGCTATCAATTGCCGTGACTTATTCGCTTAGATGACTATTTGGCTTGCCAAAAAGATAAAACTAATTCGATGATTGTACAAAACGGAGAAACAATAAAATATTATTTGGCCTTAATATTTTAAAAGCATTTTAACAATATTAAGCAGTTAAAAATAATCCTGTGTCTCTTGTATATTTTTGTAAATTTGATGAATATTCTCTTATAAATTTTAATATATAACTTTTAATGATTACAAAAAATCACAGAATCTTCAGTATATTTGGCTGCAAATAAATACATACATATACATATTCATATATGTATACAGACACATACATGTATAGTTATATA